GCACTCCGTTCAGCATGGCCAAAAAAAACAATAATAAAAAATAAAATGTTCAAAAGATTTGAACAGACTCTCCGAACAAGATATATGGATGGCAAATAAGCCCATCAAAAGATGCTTGATGTCATGAATTATCTGGGAGATGTAAATTAAAGCTACAATGAGGGACCACTAGATACATTTCAGGGTGACTAAAATTAGAAGGACAACCACACCAAGTGTTGGTGAGGATGTAGAGCAAGTAAATCTCTCATACACTGTTGGTGGTACAATCAGTTTGGAAAACAGTCTGGCATTCTTCTTTGAGAGATAAACATATACCTACCATGTGACATTTACATTATATTAAAGAAATTTATCCATGAGAAATGAAAGCATATGTCCATACAAAGGCTTGTACACTAATGTTCACAGTAGCTTAACTTTTAAAAAAATATGTGTTTGACCATATTGAGTCTTAGTTGTGGCATGCAGGATCTTTGTTGCATCATTTGGGATCTTTCGTTGAGGTGCACAGACTGTCTAATTCTGACTTGTGGGTTCCAGAGCACTCAGGTTCAGTAGTTGTGGTGTGGGGGTGAGAGGGTAACAGGCAGGAAGGCCAGGGGTCTCCAAATGGAAGAAACAGGCTGCAAGTGTCAGACATTTTTTTTGTCTCTCTCTTAAGCAGCAGGAGGAAACAAACTGTAAGTGTTAGTGTTTTTATCCCCTTCTCTGGTAGTGGTGATGGTTTAGTCACTAAGTCGAGTCCAACTCTTGCAACCAGGACTGTAGCCTGCCAGGCTCTTCTGTCCATAGGATTCTCCAGGCAAGAATACTGGAGTGGGTTACCATTTCCTTCTCCAGGGGATCTTCCCAACCCAGGAATCGAACTTGGGTCTCCTGCATTGCAGGCAGATGATTTACCAACTGAGCTATGAGGTAAGTCCTCCCCTTCTCCATACAAATTCAAAAAGAGGTTTCTTTTAAGATCTGTGTTGCCATGATGACACCTGATTCCACCTGAACTTAACTTTTCTCAAACCTTGAGCTAACCAATGCATTTTTCTTATGGAAATGTCTGTCTTAAGCTATGTTAATGAACTATGTATTTACCCTAGACTCTGTCTTCAAGTCAGTTCCGCCTAAGATTCAAAACAGACTTTGACAAACCAGTATGTTTTACTCACGCAAATGTTCTCTTAAGTTATATTAATGAGACTGTATTTGCTTGGAAACCTGCCTTTCTTCAAAATTCACCTCAATCATTTTATGGCCCGGGACATCTCCCCTTGTGCCAATGTTATCTCAAAATGCAAGTTGTGGGTGAGGGGCCTGGTACCAGTCTCTGAGTTTTGAGTCATTTCCTTTCTCTGATTAGCAGACTGCTAGTAGCTATATAACATCCAGCTAAAGACTAGCAGGGAGGCAGTCTTTCTGCCTCCTCCTGATGTCTATGTCAGAAGTTTTCTCTATCTTTTCTATACTTTAATAAAACTTTATTACACAAAAGCTCTGAGCGATCAAGCCTCGTCACTGGCCCCAGATTGAATTCCTCTCCTCCAGAGGCCAAGAATCCCATCATCTTTCACACTCAGCAACAACATTTCAGGGGCTTAGATGCTATGCAGCATGTGGGATCTTAGTTCCCCGACCAGGGATCAAACCTGAGTCCCCTGCATTGCAAGGGGTTCTTAACCTCTGGACCACTGGAGAAGTCCCCATTGTAGCTTCATTTGTAATAAGCTACTACTGTAACAAGCTACGGAAACTGTTAACAACTCAAATATCCATCAAATTCAGGTGAGTAGATAAAAAAACTGGTATAGATCCACACAATGGCATACTACTCAGTGGGAAATCAATGGATACATACAACAGTATAAATGACTCTTAATTATGCTGGATGAAAGAAACCAGACAAAGTAGATACTGTATGATTCCAATTAACATAAAATTATAGGATGTATGTGTATGTGCTTACTTGCTCAGTCATGTCCAACTCTTTGCGACCCCATGGACTGTAGCCTGCCACGACCTCTGTCCACGGGGATTCTCCAGGCAAGAATACTGGAGTGGGTTGCCATCCTCCTCCAGGGGATCTTTCCAACCCAGGGATCAAACCCAGATATCCCAGCAGGCAGATTCTTTACCATCTGAGCCACTAGGAAAACCCAAGGATACTGGAGTGGGGACTCTATCCTTTCTCCAGAGGATCATCCTGACCCAGGAATCCACCAGGAATTGAACTGGGGTTGTCACGTGAGTGTATGCTCCTAGGTTCTCTGTCTTGTCACAACAAAAATTTGGAGTGACGGACATTGAAGCCCCCTAGGCGGGTCACAGCTCTTGGAGGACAAACCGTGTTATAGCTCTTAAATAAATCAGTGTTACAGCTCTATTTATTTAGATAATAGCAGGAAAATCCATCTTCAAGTCATGAGGGCACGTCGATCCAAAGACACGAAGAGAAGATCGCCCCATCGCGCGGGAGAGGGAGAGAGCGAGTGAGAGCGAGTTTGAGTCATTTCCTTTCTCTGATTAGCAGACTGCTAGTAGCTATATAACATCCAGCTAAAGACTAGCAGGGAGGCAGTCTTTCTGCCTCCTCCTGATGTCTATGTCAGAAGTTTTCTCTATCTTTTCTATACTTTAATAAAACTTTATTACACAAAAGCTCTGAGCGATCAAGCCTCGTCACTGGCCCCAGATTGAATTCCTCTCCTCCAGAGGCCAAGAATCCCATCATCTTTCACACTCAGCAACAACATTTCAGGGGCTTAGATGCTATGCAGCATGTGGGATCTTAGTTCCCCGACCAGGGATCAAACCTGAGTCCCCTGCATTGCAAGGGGTTCTTAACCTCTGGACCACTGGAGAAGTCCCCATTGTAGCTTCATTTGTAATAAGCTACTACTGTAATAAGCTACGGAAACTGTTAACAACTCAAATATCCATCAAATTCAGGTGAGTAGATAAACAAACTGGTATAGATCCACACAATGGCATACTACTCAGTGGGAAATCAATGGATACATACAACAGTATAAATGACTCTTAATTATGCTGGATGAAAGAAACCAGACAAAGTAGATACTGTATGATTCCAATTAACATAAAATTATAGGATGTATGTGTATGTGCTTACTTGCTCAGTCATGTCCAACTCTTTGCGACCCCATGGACTGTAGCCTGCCACGACCTCTGTCCACGGGGATTCTCCAGGCAAGAATACTGGAGTGGGTTGCCATCCTCCTCCAGGGGATCTTTCCAACCCAGGGATCAAACCCAGATATCCCAGCAGGCAGATTCTTTACCATCTGAGCCACTAGGAAAACCCAAGGATACTGGAGTGGGGACTCTATCCTTTCTCCAGAGGATCATCCTGACCCAGGAATCCACCAGGAATTGAACTGGGGTTGTCACGTGAGTGTATGCTCCTAGGTTCTCTGTCTTGTCACAACAAAAATTTGGAGTGACGGACATTGAAGCCCCCTAGGCGGGTCACAGCTCTTGGAGGACAAACCGTGTTATAGCTCTTAAATAAATCAGTGTTACAGCTCTATTTATTTAGATAATAGCAGGAAAATCCATCTTCAAGTCATGAGGGCACGTCGATCCAAAGACACGAAGAGAAGATCGCCCCATCGCGCGGGAGAGGGAGAGAGCGAGTGAGAGCGAGAGCGAGCGAGAGAGAGAGCGAGAGAGAGAGCGAGAGAGAGCGAGAGAGAAGAGGGCTTTGGCTCCTCTTGTTATATGTTTTTTGTTCCCCCTGGGCCTGTCCTATGCAAATTGGGCTTAGGCAGGAGCGTTGTTTGTTTTACCTGAGGTTCTCACTCAGGTCCTCGGACCTTCCTTTGTTCTATTTTTGCAGGCTTTTCCCTTCCAGGTCTTTTAGCCACCGCCATTTTGGACTCCCTTTCCCTATTCTAACTACCTAACATTGTCTTCTGCATTGCAGGTGGATTCTTGTAAGCCCTAACTATAGGAAAGGCAAACTAACATCCAGTAACAGAAAACAGATCAGTGGTGGCCTGGGAGTGGGGAGGGCAGGAAAGAGGAATCACAAAGGGGCAAGAGGTATTTGGGAGGTGGGGAGTGTGATTGATATGTTCATTACCTTGACTGAAGCAATGATTTCATGTGTGTGTACGTGTGCCAGAATTTAACCAAATGATACAGCTTAAATATGTGTAGTTTATTGTATGTTAATTCCACCTCAAGAAAGCTGTTAAGATGGAGCACATATTTATAAAACATGCATTGGGTGTAACATATAATGAAACACAACACTCCCTGTGTCCATTACATTACATGGTGTTAAAAAGTAAACATTACAATTATGTTTGGGCATTTCTATGTTTCCTGAACACCCTAAGGCCCAGGCTTTCTTGTTAAAAACAGATGGATGTCTGAAAATATTTTCTTAACACTTTAGGTTCCTAAAAGTGAATATTCTAGGGACTATTTTTATGTAAGTTAATTCAGTAATGTAGTAGCTTGGCACAGTTTGAAGGTGAAACTTGCCCTTTAAAAGATGGGCGGCCCAAAACGGTGACTTAAAAATAATCCCACTGTGCAGTTATGAACATCTTAGAACCTCTGCCTAGAATGCAAAAGGGAAAACTCTTGCTGTGACCAGACAGGCATGTGATTTCACTTCTTTTTTTTTAAAAATGAGGCAGAGGTGGGCAGGATGGAACACAAGCAGGATGGGGCACAAACTAATAAATCGGGTTTAGCAACAGCTGGTGTGTTTTAACCAGGCTCCACCCACAGCTTCTATTTTCTTAGGAGAGACTGGAAAACAGACAAGCTGTGAATACACTCTGCATTTAAAACTGCAGCAGTAGTCTCCAAGCAGGAATAGGGGGTTGTAATCGGCTTTCCTTCTAAGGAAAAGCTGGGAACCTTCTCATTTCACTTCATGAAAAATAAGTGATGAGGCAATTTCTGCCAAACATCTATTAATTGGATAAAACAGGTCTCTTGCCCGATATCTGACTTCAGCTGTTTATTTCCAGCACAACCAGTTCTTCTTTCCTCTGCAGCTGATTGGCTCTGGAGTGTGGCCAGAAACCTACTTCCCGCAGTTAAAGGAGTCAGATCTCTGTTGATCTGTTTTCTTCTCTTCTGAGTGATGGCGCTCACCATTTTAATCCTCCGGCTGGCCGTCTGCATCCTGGCATTTCCCATGTACCTGCTGGACTTTCTGGGCTTGTGGAACTGGATATGCAAACAGTGGTTCCCCTACTTCCTGGCGAGGTTCACTGTGATGTACAACAAACAGATGGCGAGCAAGAAGCGGGAGCTCTTCAGCAACCTGCAGGAGTTCACGGGCCCCTCTGGGAAGCTCTCCCTGCTGGAGCTGGGCTGTGGCACCGGGGCCAACTTCAAGTTCTACCCCTCTGGATGCCAGGTGACCTGTGTTGATCCCAACCCCAACTTTGAGAAGTTCTTGATCAAATGCATTGCCCAGGCCGACACCTGCAGTTTGAGCGCTTCATAGTGGCTGCCGGGGAGAACATGCACCAGGTGGCCACAGGCTCCATGGATGTGGTGGTCTGCACCCTGGTGCTCTGTTCCGTGAAGAACCAGGAGCAGATCCTCCAGGAAGTGCGCCGAGTGCTGAGGCCGGTGAGTATGGGCTGAGAAGGGCTGCTTAGTAGCAACCACCATCACCAAGGGCAGTCCTCCCAATTTCACTAGATCAAACACCCTAACATAAAAGTAAAGCTACTAGAAAAAATACTGTTGAATTTTTTAAGAAAAAAATCTTAGAGTGCAGAAGAAGCTATGAAGGAAGAGATTGATAATACATGAATAAAAAATATTTTAGAACTCCTGCAGGGAAAAGGACTATAAATAAATTTGAAGTACAAAAATGTTTTGTAAAAAATATTTGCCAAGGATGATAATGAGTTAACTTCCTTCATAAAGGCATTACACATCAACAAGATCAACAGGATTCTTAAATAAATTATATTAAAAAGAGGGAAAAAAAGCAAAGCACAGGAACAGAAATATAAATAAAAATAGCCAATATATGATTTAAATATCTAGTCTTGTAATTAAACAAATTAAAGCATGATATTTTATACTGGAATCTTTAAAATAAAACAAATGAATATAATAAAACAGAAACAAATTCATAGATATACAGAACAAACTAATGGTTACCAGCTGGGAGAGGGAGAAAAGGATGAGCAAGAGTGGTATGGAATTAACAGATATAAACTAGTATGTATAAAATAAATAAGCAACAAGGATATATTCTACAGCACAGGAAAATATAGTCATTATTTTGTAATAACTTTAAATGCAGTATAAACTATAAAAATTTTGAATCACTTTGTTGTACACCTGAAACTAATATTATAATCAACCATGCTGCTGCTGCTGCTAAGCTGCTTCAGTCGTGTCCGACTCTGTGTGACCCCATAGACAGCAGCTCACCAGGCTCCTCCATCCCTGGGATTCTCCAGGCAAGACTACTGGAGTGGGTTGCCATTTCCTCCTGCATAATCAACCATACTTCAATTAAAAAGAAATTAAAGCAAGACCCTTTTTATCTACTATTCTACAGAGACTTTTAAGTTCAATATGGTATTGGGGTGGGTCTGGGGGTCTGGACACCCAACTGGAAGAAGTGTCCTCTTTGGAGGACAATTTAATAATATCAAATTTTCAAGTAATTTACATCTTCATCCAACAGGAATTTATCCCATAGCTATCCTGCAAAAATATGCAAAAACTCAAAAGATTAAAAATATTCATTACAATATTTTAATATAATAAATTGGAAATAACATCCATCAATTGGAAGTTGTTAAGTAAATTGTCACATAGTATAAAACAAGAAATTTTTACCTATGTCAATGAAAAAATCCTCAAAGAGATAGTGTTAATTTTAAAAGCAATGAAAACAGAATATTATGTAGAGTACTAATCCATTTGTGTGTGGGGGGGGGAGAATATACTTATATAAGTATTTATGTTAATGGGAATTATAAACACGTAATTATTAACAGTAGTTACCTATTGGGAAGGGAATTGGATGAGGAGAAATAATTTCTTTTCATTTTATACCTCTCTGTATAGTTTGAAATTCTTTATACCTGTATGTAATTTTCACATATTACCTTTATTGTTTACTTAGAAACTAGTTTTAAATAGAAGCTTGGTGTACTGCAGTCCACGGGATCACAAACAGTCGGACACAACTGAGAAACTGAACAACAACAATTCTAAACGAAGCTGAACATACATAAAATATGAGTATTTTAACATTTGAATTTACTCTTCTAGGGGAAAAAGATGGTCTGTAATCCCCAGTTTTATTTTCTCCCATCCAAGTACTAACCAGGCCCAACCCTGCTTAGCTTCTGAGATCAGACGAGATGGCCATGTTTAGGGTAATACTGCCGTAGACCACAGTTTTATTTTCTAACAGAGGAAGCTCCTCAGAAAGAAAGGGACTTGAAGATAGTGTTTAGAGGCTATAATATACAGTTGTCCCTCAGAGTCACTCCCTGCCCCCACCACAGATACCAAAAGCTATACAAGCTCAAGTCCCTTACATAAAATGGTATCGAATTTGCATATGATCTATGCATATCCTCCCACATACCTTAAATCATCTCTAGATTACTTTTAATACCTAATACAAGGTAAATGCTATATAAATAGTTGCCAGCATGTGGGAAATTCAAGTTTGGCCTTTTTTGAATTTTCTGGATTTTTTTCCCCAATATTTTTGATCTGTTGGTTGAATCCATGGATGCAGAACCTGTGGATACAGAGGGCCGACTGTAATTCTGTGTTTGGCTCAAGAATAGGCCACCATCAAAACTGTAACGGAAAAAGGTCTGATTCTGACATTCAAATCCTGGGTTCTTCTGTCCCAAGACTGGGCATTAACTGGGCACATTTAAGAGACATTTTGCTTATGTGTTACTAATCTCACAATGCCTCTGCAAAGCAAATAATGATCACCTCGGGTTTAAGCACTGAGAATGCTCTTAGGGGATCGTAAGTCTTCCTTTAGCTCCTACAAAGCACCCACTCACTGCTGCATAGAACCAGAGGCTTTCCTGCATTCTCATTCACCCCATCACACAGTCCTTAACGCAGGGACTGTNCTCAGGGCTCTCTGACTTTGCACCACTGCGTTGGTTGCAGCAGGGGACCTGGCTCGAGTCAGCAATAAATTTCCCTTCCTTTGCGTGTTGCATTGTCATGGAGGTCTTATCTTTTCCTGTTGGGGGATTTGGACAGCGGGCATAACACATGGATACCAAGGGCTGAGACCCAACTGTAATTCTGTCTTAGGCTCAAGGATAGGTCAACATCAAAATAGTATCTGAAAAATGTCTGATTCTGATACTCATATCCTGGATCCTTATGTCCTAAGATTGGGCATTAAGTGGCACAGTTAGGAGACATTTTGCTTATAGTGTTACTAATCTCACAATGCCTCTACAAAGCAAATAATGATCATCTCAGGTTTAAACACTGAGAATGCTCTTAGGGGATCATATTCTTCCTTTAACTCCTACAAAGCACCTTCTCACTGATGAATAGAACTAGGGATTTTCCTACATTCTCATTTACCCCATCATGCATTTCTTAACACAGGGACTATCTTCATGTTAGGTTGGTGAAACAGACCTAGAGAAGTTAAGAAACTTGCCCCACATTACACAGCCAGCAGATCTGACTTTAATGCACATATTCTTATCACTGCACCACAGTGCTTATCCCTGGGGCTTTGTATTGCTCCAACTTCAACATTTCTACCACTTTTGCTGGCTATTCTTCCTCTGCCCATCCCTTAAACACTGGAGTTTCTATTTTGGCTCTCATTTTGCTTATATACATTCCTTGTGCAATCTCATGCCCCCCAAAGTTTTCAATTATCATGCACATAGATTGTTTCCAAATCTAAGCATCAAGCTCAGATCTCTCTTCTAACTCCAAAGGTTCAAGTTCAGCTGTCTACACAGCGGTCACCTGAATGGGTAACAGGCATCTCTTTCCTATCCTGTATAACCCAGAGCGCATCAGCAACCTCTCCAGGCACAGGCCTCCTCTTCTCTTCTGGCCTCTCCTATGGAGAAATTATTTTCCACCGGAAAATTTCAAGTTTTCCATTCCTAAACACAAGTCTCATACTTGCCCACAGAATTTGGGGGAACACCCTCTCTAAACTCTGCCTCGGACAGTCAAGACTAGAGAAGCTAGAAGAGGCTAAGGAGAATGGGACTGTCACCGTGGGTTTTAGAGGTACTCATTGGTCCCTTTCCTCCTTCTCCCTCCAAGATACGTAGAAAACTTCTGAAGACTCCTTAATAATGTGTAGCTACTACTGTGTCCAGACTTGACCTGGACTGTCCCAGATGAAAGCAACACTTGCTGTTAATGACAGTTATTTACACACAACATCCACAGATTGAATAAAATCCCTAATGACAAAATATTATCATGGACTGCTTGTAAATAGCCAGTGGGAATTTGCTGTATGATGCAGGGATTTCAGCCTGCTGCTCTGTGACAACCTAGAGGGGTGGGATGAGGTAGGAGAAGGGAAGAAAGTTTCAGAGGGAGGTGACATATGTATACCTATGGCTGATTCATGTGGATGTATGGCAGAAACCATACAATATTGCTTTATGGTATTGTAAAGCAATTATTTTCCAATTAAATAAATCAAAAGAAGAAAAATGTTATCATGAATTTAGTAAGATTTTAGATGGCTCCATATTTTTTTAAAAATTTCAACAAACCAAAAATTTATGCTTTTATTCTTAAATTTTTCCCCTATTTTTAAAATTAATTTGTATTGAAATATATTGCTTTACAATGTTGCATTAGTTTCTAGTATACAGCAAACTGAATGTCTTTTGGATTTCAGTCCCATTCAGATCACCACAGTACACTAAGTAGTGCTGTATGATATGTTCTCATTTGTTAGGCACTTCAGTTTTTTTAATTACTCCTATCATTTACATTCTGTGACAATGGTACAAAATATAAAACATGGTTATTTAGCATCAAGCAGTGCTTGGCATGGATTCAGATTCCCACAGGTTTGCAAAGCAGAACCTAAGAACAATTTTCAGATATATTTAAAGTTTTTTTAAAAATGTAATTGAAAGGCAAACAACAAATGGTGGTGGGGGGGAACATTTGTAGTGTACATAGTCTAACTATACTAAAAGCCCTTACAAATCAGTAAGAAAAAAGCCAACAGCCTATCAGAAAACTGATAATGGACATCAAGAGACAAATCAGAAAGGAAGAAATCTAAACAACCAATAACATTTAGTAAAAGATGTTAAGATTATTAAAGATATGCATATTATCAAAAATATCACATTACATATCAAGTTGACCCAAAAAAAGTATCAATGAGCATTTATTGGAAATAGGCACTCATACCTATTGCTGGTATGAATGCAAATTGTTGCAACTTTTCCAAAGGGCAGTTTGAAAACGGGTTTCTCAGGTGGCTCATTGGTAAAGAATCTGCCTGCCAATGCAGGAGGTGCAGATTCAATTCCCAGGTTGGGAAGATCCCTTGGAGAGGAAATGGCAACCCACTCCAGTATTCTAGCCTGTAAAATCCCATGGGCAGAGGAGATTGGTGGGCTACAGTCCATGGGGTCGCAAAGAGTTGGAGGTGACTGAGCAACTGAGCACGCAAGCAATTTGACAACCTGTATCAACAGTTTTAAAAAGGCACAGACTTTTGACTCAGCAACTCCACTTTTTAGCAAGTTATTTATTTGGAAATAATTTTAGATGATCACGAACACTTATGGGTAAGGATATTCACTGTAACAGTATTTTCAATAGTGAAAAACTGGAAATAGTCTAAATGAGAATGGTTAAATAGGAGATGGTAACTTTAGTGGTGTGAAATACTATGTAGAGATTTTTTATTGTTTCTTTTTTNCAAATGTACGGCAACCGTTACCAAGGGAACAAGGGGTAATGTTAGTCACACGGTCAGGACACAATCCATATCTAAAGAAAGGGGAACGAGACTAAGCAGTTTTGTCCTAAAGAGAATGTTTACTAAAGGAGACCCAAGCCTGCCTCACACAATGACCTCAGTCCCTGGGAGCAGCGTGCTGTTCTGCTTGAAGAGGGACAAAGGACTCATGAGAGACAGCACGTAGGCATCCTCCCGTCAAACATTCCCTGACACCTCTATGAACAGACAATATAGATTGGCAGCTCTGTAGACAATCTGACAGATGATACTCTTAACCACAACGTTACCACAGTTAAGTTTGGATTTCTCCATGTCTTCTCATGAAGCTGGTTTCTGGGGCCACTGAAATCTGACATTTAGTCATCTTGTTTTCCCCACACTAAAATCCTTGGTGTATTTTGTTGTTTTTTTTTTCCCTCTTTTCTTTCTCAGAGAGGAGATTTTTATTTCACAGAGTATATATTAGGTTGGAGCAAAAGTAATTATGGTTTTACATTTTTGAAATTTGCTGTTTGATATTAGAGTATGTTCTTAAATATGGTTAAGTTATACGTCATTTTAATGCACATTTCTCACTTTGTTTTTTGGCTAATGACTTTTTGTTTTTTTTCCCCCAAACTTTAAACTTTTTATTTTGTATTGGGGTATAGCCAATAGTAATGTTGTGGTAGTTTCAGGTAAACAATGAAGGGACTCAGCCATACATATACATGTATCTGTTCTCCTCTAAACCCCTCTCCCATCCAGACTGGTATACAACTGTTGAGTAGAGTTTCATGTGCCATACAATAGGTCCTAGTTGGTTATCCATTTTGAACATAGCAGTGTGTACTTGACCTTCCCAAACTCCCTAACTATCCCATCCCCCTGACAACCATAAGTTTGTTTTCCAAGTCTGTGAGTCTCTTTCTCTTTTGTAAGGAAATTCATTTGTATCATTTCTTTTTAGATTCCACATATAAAGGATGTCATACAATATTTCTCCTTCTCTGTCTGACTTACTTCATTCAGTATGACACTCTCTAGATTCATCCATGTGGCTATAAATAGCATTATTTCATTCTCTTTAATAGCTGAGTAAGATTCCATTCTGTATATGTACCATACCTTCTTCATCCATTCCTCTCTAAGTGAACATTTAGGTTGCTTTGATGTCTTGGCTATTGTAAACAGTGTTGCAGTGAATATTGGGATGCATGTGACCTTCATGTTTTCCTCTGGATGAATGGCCAGGAGTGGGATTGCAATGTCATAAGGTACCTCAATATAGGAGATGCAGGTCTGATCCCTGGATCAGGAAGATCCACCAGAGGAGGGCATGGCATCCGACACCAGTATTCTTGCCTGGAGAATCACATAGACAGAGGAGCCTGGTGGGCTTTTGTCCATAGGTCTCAAACAGTCGAAGTGACAGCACAGACAGTGTAAGAGAGTTCCTTCCCCCCACACCCCCTCCAGCATTTGTTGTGATTTTTTTGATGACAGCCATTCTGACTGGTATGAGGTGATATCTCATTGTAGCGTTGATTTGCATTTCTCTAATAACTAGCGGTGTTGAAAATCTTTTCATGTGCCTGTTGGCCATCTGTATGTCTTCTTTGAAGAAATGTCTATTCAGGCCTTCTGCCCATTTTTTCAGTGGGCTGTTTGTTTTGAAGCTGTTAAGCATCATAAGCTGTTTGAAAAGTTTGGAGACTAATCCCTCAGGGCTCACATCATTTGCAAATATTTTCTCCCCGTATGTAGGCTGTCTTTTCATTTTGTTTATTTTTTCCTTTGCTGTGCAAAAGCTTTTGAGTAGGTCCCAGTTGTTTGGTTTTGTTTTCATTATTCTGAGATGGATTAAAAAAGATGTTGCTATGATTTATGTCAGAGTGTTCTGTTTTCCTCTAGGAGTTTTATTTTTTAATTTTTTTCCATTTATTTTTATTAGTTGGAGGCTAATTACTTTACATCATTGCAGTGGTTTTTGTCATACATTGAAATGAATTAGCCATGGATTTACATGTATTCCCCATCCCGGTCCCCCCTCCCACCTCCCTCTCCACCCGATCCCTCTGGGTCTTCCCAGTGCACCAGGCCCGAGCACTTGTCTCATGCACCCAACCTGGGCTGGTGATCTGTTTC